AGCTGGTGACGCTGCTGCTGCTGCTGATGATGATGCTGCTGCTGGTGCTGCTGCTGATGATGATGCTGCTGGTGCTGCTGCTGGTGCTGCTGATGATGATGATACTGCTGATGACGATAATTGCTGCCGCTGGTGCTGGTGCTGCTCATGATCCTGTTGATGATACTGTTGATGATGATACTGCTGATGATGATACTGTTGCTGCTGGTGCTGCTGATGATGATACTGCTGATGACGATAATTGCTGCCGCTGGTACTGGTGCTGCTCATGATACTGCTGATGATACTGCTGATGATGATACTGCTGATGATGATCCTCTTGATGATGATAGTGATGATGCTGCTGCTGATGATGATACTGCTGCTGATGATACTGCTGACGGTGACACCGCTGGCGATTATCCTGTTGATGCTGCTGCTGCTGATGATGATGCTGCTGCTGCTGATGATACTGCTGCTGATGATGACACTGCTGGCGATGACCCCCAGGTGACCCCGGGCTCGGTGTGGCTCTGCACGGGCCGCTGTCTGCGCCACCGCTCCTCCAGGGAGGCCCCCGCAGAGCCGGGAGCGGCGCTGTCCTGGGCCGAGCGGAGGTTCGGCTCCATCTCCTCCTACAGCGCGCTGGAGCGTGCCGACAGGGTGCGCATCTCGCTCGGCGATGGTGAGTGTGTGTGGTGAGTGTGTGTGGTGAGTGTGTGGTGAGTGTGTGTGGTGAGTGTGTGTGGTGAGTGTGTGTGGTGAGTGTGGTGTGTGGTGAGTGTGTGTAGTGAGTGTGGTGTGTGGTGAGTGTGGTGTGTGGTGAGTGTGTGTAGTGAGTGTGTGTGGTGAGTGTGTGTGGTGAGTGTGGTGTGTGGTGAGTGTGGTGTGTGGTGAGTGTGTGTAGTGAGTGTGTGGTGTGTATGGTGAGTGTGTGTGTGGTGAGTGTGTGGGTGGTGTGTGGTGAGTGTGTGGTGAGTGTGTGGTGAGTGTGTGTGGTGTGTGTGGTGAGTGGTGAGTTTTTTTGTGGTGAGGGTGCTCATTCACAGCACTTGGGCCTCCACGTCCTCTTCTACCCCCCCACCCACCTCCTCCTCCCTCCCCCCTTCTCCCCCCCTCCACTCCCCCCCAACTCCCCCCCCTCCTCCTCCCTCCCCCCTTCTCCCCCCCCACTCCCCCCCCAACTCCTCCCCCCCTTCTCTCCCCCCCTCCTCCTCCCCCCCCACTCCCCGCCTCCTCCCCCCCCCCAAACTCCTCCCCCCCTCCTCCTCCCCCCCCACTCCCCGCCTCCTCCCCCCCCCACTCCCCCCCACTCCCCCCCCCCAACTCCTCCCCCCCTCCTCCTCCCCCCCTCCCCCTCCCCCACCCCCCCCCACCACCCCCCCAACTCCTCCCCCCCCCCCTCCTCTCCCCTCCTCCTCCTCCCCGCCCACTCCCCGCCTCCTCCTCCTCCCCTCCCTCCTCCCTCCTCCCCCTCTCCCCCACTCTCCCCCACCCCCCCCCACTCCCCCCCCACCACCCCCCCCCCCCCCACCCACCGTCGCAGACCCGTCATGGCCGCGGCGCTGCGAGCCTCGGCCGGGCTTCCTCTCCCCGTCGGTGGAGGCCTCCTACGCGGCCCGCGGCGGGGGCGACGGCGACGGCGCCACGGGCTGCTCCGCACCGCCGCTGCCGTTCCGCCGCGCGTCCAATCGGACGCACGTCATCGCGCTGCGGCCGGACGTGACGTCACAGAGGTGTGGCAGATGGGTTAGGTCACGTGCCACGGGCGATATTTGAATTCGCAGGGTTGACGTGGGTGGGTAGTGAGCGACAATTGTGGTGACGCGCGAAGTTTCCGCGCGTGTCAAAGTGCTTTCTCGGGGTGAGGTCGGGTGAATGTGCGAATGTTGTGCACTTGAACCCGCCCCCGCCCCCGGGGGACCCACGGCCAATCAGAAAAAGGGGGTTGTGTCACGTAAGCGGAACGTGGCCAATACGGCACTGGTAGAGCACTAGTGTGTAGTGTATAGTGTAGTGTAGTGTACTAGTACAGCACTAGTGTGTAGTGTGTAGTGTAGTGTGCTAGTACAGCACTAGTGTGTAGTGTGTAGTGTAGTGTACTAGTACAGCACTAGTGTGTAGTGTATAGTGTAGTGTGTAGTGTAGTGTATAGTGTAGTATGCTAGTACAGCACTAGTGTGTAGTGTATAGTGTAGTATGCTAGTACAGCACTGGTGTGTAGTGTATAGTGTAGTATGCTAGTACAGCACTAGTGTGTAGTGTATAGTGTAGTATGCTAGTACAGCACTAGTGTGTAGTGTATAGTGTAGTATACTAGTACAGCACTAGTGTGTAGTGTATAGTGTAGTGTACTAGTACAACACTAGTGTGTAGTGTATAGTGTAGTTTACTAGTACAGCACTAGTGTGTAGTGTATAGTGTAGTGTGTAGTGTTGTGTATAGTGTAGTATGCTAGTACAGCACTAGTGTGTAGTGTATAGTGTAGTATGCTAGTACAGCACTAGTGTGTAGTGTATAGTGTAGTATGCTAGTACAGCACTAGTGTGTAGTGTATAGTGTAGTATGCTAGTACAGCACTAGTGTGTAGTGTATAGTGTAGTATACTAGTACAGCACTAGCGTGTAGTGTAGTGTATAGTGTAGTGTATTAGTACAGCACTAGTGTGTAGTGTATAGTGTAGTGTACTAGTACAGCACTAGTGAGTAGTGTATAGTGTAGTGTATAGTGTAGTGTAGTGTATAGTGTAGTATGCTAGTACAGCACTAGTGTGTAGTGTATAGTGTAGTATACTAGTACAGCACTAGTGTGTAGTGTAGTGTATAGTGTAGTGTACTTGTACAGCACTAGTGTGTAGTGTATAGTGTAGTGTACTAGTACAGCACTAGTGTGTAGTGTATAGTGTAGTATACTAGTACAGCACTAGTGTGTAGTGTATAGTGTAGTGTACTAGTACAGCACTAGCATGTAGTGTATAGTGTAGTGTGCTAGTGCAGCACTAGTGTGTAGTGTATAGTGTAGTATACTAGTACAGCACTCGTGTGTAGTGTAGTGTATAGTGTAGTGTAGTATACTAGTACAGCACTAGTGTATAGTGTAGTGTAGTATACTAGTACAGCACTAGTGTGTAGTGTATACTGTAGTGTAAAGTAGAATACTAGTACAGCACTAGTGTGTAGTGTATAGTGTAGTATACTAGTACAGCACTAGTGTGTAGTGTATAATGTAGTGTAGTATACTAGTACAGCACTAGTGTGTAGTGTAGTGTATAGTGTAGTGTACTAATACAGTACTCTTGTGTAGTGTATCGTGTAGTATACTAGTACAGCACTAGTGTGTAGTGTAGTGTATAATGTAGTGTACTAATACAGTACTCTTGTGTAGTGTATCGTGTAGTATGCTAGTACAGCACTAGTGTGTAGAGTAGTGTATAGTGTAGTATAGTATACTAGTACAGTACTAGTGTATAGTGTAGTTTATAGTGTAGTATACTAGTACAGCACTAGTGTATAGTGTAGTGTATAGTGTAGTATACTAGTACAGCACTAGTGTGTAGTGTATAGTGTAGTGTACTAGTACAGCACTAGTGTGTAGTATATAGTGTAGTGTACTAGTACAGCACTAGTGTGTAGTGTATAGTGTAGTGTACTAGTACAGCACTAGTGTATAGTGTATAGTGTAGTATACTAGTACAGCACTAGTGTGTAGTGTAGTGTATAGTGTAGTATACTAGTACAGCACTAGTGTATAGTGTAGTATACTAGTACAGCACTAGTGTATAGTGTATAGTGCAGTGTACTAGTACAGCACTAGTGTGTAGTGTAGTGTATAGTGTAGTGTACTAGTACAGCACTAGAGTGTAGTGTATAGTGTAGTGTACTAGTACAGCACTAGTGTGTAGTGTATAGTGTAGTATACAAGTTCAGCACTGGTGTGTAGTGTATAATGTAGTGTATTGTGTAGTGTATAGTGTAGTGTACTAGTACAGCACTAGTGTGTAGTGTATAGTGTAGTATACAAGTTCAGCACTGGTGTGTAGTGTATAATGTAGTGTATTGTGTAGTGTATAGTGTAGTGTACTAGTACAGCACTAGTGTGTAGTGTACAGCGTAGTATACTAGTACAGCACTAGTGTGTAGTGTATAGTGTAGTATACTAGTACAGCACTAGTGTGTAGTGTACGGTGTAGTGTATAGTGTAGTATACTAGTACAGCACTAGTGTGTAGTGTATAGTGTAGTGTATAGTGTAGTGTACTAGTACAGCACTAGTGTGCAGTGTATAGTGTAGTGTACTAGTACAGCACTAGTGTGTAGTGTATAGTGTAGTGTACTGGGAGCACTAGTGTGTAGTGTAGTGTATAGTGTAGTATACTAGTACAGCACAAGTGTATAGTGTAGTTTACTAGTACAGCACTAGTGTGTAGTGTATAGTGTAGTACTCTAGTACAGCACTAGTGTATAGTGTAGTTTATAGTGTAGTGTACTAGTACAGCACTCGTGTGTAGTGTATAGTGTAGTGTATAGTGTAGTACACAAGTACACCACTAGTATATAGTGTAGTGTATAGTGTAATGTATAGTGTAGTGTATAGTGTAGTGTACTAGTACAGCACTAGTGTGTAGTGTATCGTGTAGTGTACTAGTACAGCACTAGTGTGTAGTGTATAGTGTAGTGTACTAGTACAGCACTAGTGTGTAGTGTATAGTGTAGTATACTAGTACATCACTAGTGTTAGTGTAGTGTATAGTGTAGTATACTAGTACAGTACTAGTGTGTAGTGTATAGTGTAGTACAGCACTAGTGTGTAGTGTATAGTGTAGTATACTAGTACAGCACTAGTGTGTAGTGTATAGTGTAGTATGCTCATACAGCACTAGTGTGTAGTGTATAGTGTAGTATACTAGTACAGCACTAGTGTGTAGTGTATAGTGTAGTATACTAGTACAGCACTAGTGTGTAGTGTATAGTGTAGTATACTAGTACAGCACTAGTGTGTAGTGTATAGTGTAGTACACTAGTACACTAGTGTGTAGTGTATAGTGTAGTATACTAGTACAGCACTAGTGTGTAGCATATAGTGTAGTATGCTAGTACAGCACTAGTGTGTAGTGTATAGTGTAGTATACTAGTACAGCACTAGTGTGTAGTGTATAGTGTAGTATACTAGTACAGCACTAGTGTGTAGTGTATACTGTAGTACAGGGGTCCCCAGCCCCCAGGCTGCAGACCGGTACCGGTCCGTGGCCTGTTAGGAACCGGGCCGCACAGCAGCAGGAGTTGAGAGCGGTGAATCCGCACGTGGCCCTCCTATTTTTTTTATTATTTACCACGTCCATCCGCGCCTCCTTCCCGCACCGCGCAACTCATCTCAGTCACGTGGTGTTGGTAAGCCCACAAGCTAACCGCCTAGTAGCCACAATGAGTAAGCCTACAAGCTCTAACCCCGAATAGCCACAATGAGTAAGCCCACAAGCTCTAACCCCTCGTAGCCACAATGAGTAAACCCACAAGCTCTAAACCCTAGTAGCCTACATGAGTAAGCCCACAAGCTCTAACCCCTAGTAGCCTACATGAGTAAGCCCACAAGCTGACCCCCTAGTAGCCTACATGAGTAAGCCCACAAGCTGACCCCCTAGTAGCCACAATGAGTAAGCCCACAAGCTCTAACGCCTAGTAGCCTACATGAGTAAGCCCACAAGCTCTAACTCCTAGTAGCCTACATGAGTAAGCCCACAAGCTGACCGCCTAGTTGCCTACATGAGTAAGCCCACAAGCTGACCCCCTAGTAGCCACAATGAGTAAGCCCACAAGCTCTAACCCCTAGTTGCCTACATGAGTAAGCCCACAAGCTCTAATCCCTAGTAGCCACAATGAGTAAGCCCACAAGCTCTAACGCCTAGTAGCCTACATGAGTAAGCCCACAAGCTCTAACCCCTAGTAGCCTACATAAGTAAGCCCACAAGCTTTAACCCCTAGTAGCCTATAGGAGTAAGCCCACAAGCTCTCACCCCTAGTAGCCTACATGAGTAAGCCCACAAGCTCTAACCCCTATTAGCGTATAGGAGTAAGCCCACAAGCTCTCACCCCTAGTAGCCTATAGGAGTAAGCACACAAGCTCTCACCCCTAGTAGCCTACATGAGTAAGCGCACAAGCTCTAACCCCTAATAGCCTACATGAGTAAGCCCACAAGCTCTAACCCCCTAGTAGCCTACATGAGTAAGCCCATAAGCTCTAACCCCTAGTAGCCACAATGAGTAAGCCCACAAGCTCTAACCCCTAGTAGCCTACATGGGTAAGCCCACAAGCTGACCCCTAGTAGTCTACATGAGTAAGCCCACAAGCTGACCCCCTAGTAGCCACAATGAGTAAGCCCACAAGCTGACCTCTAGTAGCCTACAAGAGTAAGCCCACAAGCTGACCCCTAGTAGCCTACATGAGTAAGCCCACAAGCTGACCCCTAGTAGCCTACATGAGTAAGCCCACAAGCTGACCCCTAATAGCCTACATGAGTAAGCCCACAAGCTCTAACCCCTAGTAACCTACATGAGTAACCCCACAAGCTCTAACCCCTAGTAGCCACAATGACTAAGCCCACGAGCTCTAACCCCTAGCAGCCTACATGAGTAAGCCCACAAGCTCTAACCCCTGTAGCCTATATGAGTAAGCCCACAAGCTCTAACCCCTAGTAGCCTACATGAGTAAGCCCACAAGCTCTCACCCCTAGTAGCCTACAT